AATGGTGCGAATGAGAGCTTCAAGACTAACGTCATCAACTCACAAGGAATGCCGTAGGATCGTTGTGAAGCGAACTGTTTTCGGACCATTGTACAGAGCATCGAAGGGCATATTTCCACAGCCGGAGAATTTCGTATAGCGTAACCTCTTGAGCATCTGTCTGGACACCATTTTGATGGAAAATCTGAAAAAGATAGGATGTGTTTAGGACCAGATGATCTACTGAGTACTCGCACAAAACATCAGAGGATAAACGACCGCTAGTGTACTCATTCGAATAGGCCATATTGTATGCTTGAAGTAGGACAAGTTCAATAGAACAAATATCATGAGTCTCTGAGGTTGAGTCGTTAAGCTTGCTCCGACACATGAACTGCCACAACATAGCAGAAAACTGGTCGTTACAGTCGAAATTTCTTACACCATCAAATAGTTGTTTGATGCAGTCTATACACGAGAAACCAAAGGTAAACAGCTATTTTTCTACCGATAGAGATAAAAATGAAGAGCAACTAATGGACAAGAGGTGAACCCCTAATTTTCAGTAGGTCGTCTTTGGGTTAAACTTATCCGTCATTCGCATAGAAGAAGATATCACTCACTTTACCAAAACCCAAGAATTACAATTAGGAACGGTGTTATATGGCTCCTCAGGCGACAGAATTACCTCCGATTTGTTTTCCTTTGTATTTTAGAGTTCTTCAGAAAAACTATGGGGTCAAAAATAAAAACAGATGATCCGGGTAAAGAGTGGTTTAGCGTATCATCATTCAGCACCACTTTACTGGTGACATTTACGTTTCTGGTATGCCAAGAGTTGACCATATGCGTTCGAACAGCACCAGAAACCAGAGAAAGTAGGTATCGTAGCAGCTAAAAGTTACAGGAAACGTTGCTGCGTGATACGGTTGATTTCCGACCAAGAGCCGTTTGCAGTGTTAAGCGGAATGAAATTGCTCAAACATGTTACGACAATGTGAGGTCTATGGAGCTACACGGCTTATTAGCTCAACAATCGTTCATGCTGAGAATCCGGATCTTCTACAGTAATGAGGCACTGGTGAGACACTGCACCGAATAAACTGTGTGGTAATGTATATGAAAATTCGTGATTTTTTACAGCCCGTACATTCGAAAGGCACAAAATATCAACTGCAGTTATTCGTTGATGCATTCTTATGGATAACGCAACATAATACAAGTACCGGTGCGTAATTACCACTGAGTAGCAAATGAGTAGCTTATTGCCCAACCACCTGCTAAGACTTCACCAGCCAATGTACCTATGGCGTTGCTCATAAACTATTTCCCCAAGTGAAAACAGCTAACAATCCCGTCCCAGCTTGGATTTGTATGAGTGCCTAAATGTCTGAGTGCTACAAATGTTTTCAAGATGGTCCCGGAGTTCAAAATTGATCTGTTAGTTGCATGAAAATAACTCCCAATGCAAGTGTTTGGAACTATTAGATTGAAGAAGTGCACGGGCAGATTAGAGTTTGCATTGTTACGCTCGAAGTCAGTCAGTTTTTTTAGTAACAAACCTTGCACTTAATTACACTGATTCCGGCTGCTACAGCCTCGTTTGCAGGGGATAATACATGAATTACAAGTAAATGGAGTGAAACTTACTACGGTTTTCAAGGTCAGTGTCAGGAACAGCCCCAACAGCTCCCAATAATGAGCAATGCGACGGAGTACACCGAAGGTGTTCACATGAGACGAATCCCTCAACCAATCTGTCAAAAGTCCCATAGCATACGAAATCGGTGGAACAACGACTGGATCCCCCAACTCCACAGACTTCCGAATCCGCCCAAACATTTCGGTGATTACGATATCTAAAAGATACTCCTACTCGCAAAAATAAAATGAATGATTGAAAATTTACCTGGTATGACGCGAGATCAGACGAATGACCTTCTATTGAGTCGCCGAGTGGTGTTAACAAATTCGACAACGCCTTCAAAAACTGATAGGCAGCTATGCATCCTGCTGTGTTTACCGCAAGCCAATCCAACGGGATGAGAATCTCCACGGCGGCCTCTACGGCCCATCTCAATCGATCTTGAGTGGTAATTTCGATATCTGGGAGCGACAGTAAATCGTGCTGCTTCAGATGTTCTGACGAGGCGCATTGCACAGAGAGAAAATCGTTCCAAATGGCAGTAACAGGTGCTAAAGAACCGCTGGTATGGTGGCTTCCTACCATACTAAAGGATCAGACATCACATTTTCAGCCTGTGGTAAGAAATTAAATGGTTTCCGATGTTTTTAAGTGCGAAAAGTGAGCCGAAAATAATGAAGAAAAATCACACAGTAATAGTGCTACGAGATCTGAACTTATTGAGGCTGACTTCAAACCTTGTTCAGCCCAAAACAAGCTGACCGCTTATTCTGAAAACTGATGGCAATCCAAAAAATGATGACAGACGAAAAGTCCCTGACCCCACAAGAAGTATCATACGAAGAAAAGTCACCGTCAGCATTGTTTTTAGCTGTAAAAACCGCGTAAATGTTGTACAGTGGTTATGGTCATACCAGTTTTGTTATCTGATGATCTGGAAGGTGGGGACAGATGGCTAGGTATCGGGGGCGGTAGCTGACATAACTGATCTATCGCTAGGGAAGTCAAGAGACGAAGCAACAGCTTCAATGCATGCACTCCATTGGGGGTGCGACTGGACTGTGTCTGACAATGTCTCTCTAGTTCAGCTCGGTTCTTTCAGCTCACAAACACCGCACCGCCACTAGCTGCGTGATAATGATAATGTCTCTAAACATTGATTTCTCTTGGGGTCCCCATCCTGAGATGGAGGTATCATCTTTGATCAGACCGGGACTAATGCAGCTGTCCAGATGAACGAATTCGTAAGTGACTTCAATCAGTCTTACAGCGGTTTAAAGTCAAAACATGAAGTGTACTGACTTTAAACTTTCCATACATGATTATTTAGACTACTCCGTTTCGTCTGCATTACGATGGCTTCAGATCCAAGACACGTTGTGTCGTCTGCGTACCTGGCATGTATGAGCGAACAACCTTGGAGTATTTCGGCCCCACAGGCATCATAGGCCGGGACTGAGTGGTCATATCAATGGCGGACTTAAAGAGCAAGAATGAAAAAGGACAGTCTTGCCTGACACCATTTGATGTACTGAACTCAGATGAGAGCTACTCTATACGATCATCATTATCAACAGCACGACATCAGTGTTCTACGCTCTTTTCTTCCAGCTGGCCTTCAGCGCCTTAAGGGCGTTTGAGAATACATAGGGGACACCTTCGACCCATAAACGCTGGCATAGTACCTGATGGTCCACAGAGTCAGCTTTCAAGTCAATCAGGCAACCAGTTTATCAGCCATAAACTGTATGCTATAGTCACATCCGTTCCAGATGCTACAGTTTCGATCACCGGAAAACGGAACAAGGAAGCATACAACCAAGCCTTGGAGGCGAAGGCATGTTCAGTTTGTTCAAAAATTGGATAGCTACGTATTGAAGGCGATAGCTTTGATGCACCAGCGCCACTAACTGCGCCATTGGGCCATTTCCGCCAATGTCATTAACCACTGCTGATTTGAGTCCCGGGGTCCTCATCCAGGGACCACTCCGGTTACCCACTCGACTAAGTTCACTGATCAGCGTTTTCGCACTTTGTTGCCATGTCATACACTGTCCATGTCTCGGTTGCTTCCACTCAGTACATGGATGGGCGAAAAGAGCTCTGCGAGGCAGACGGTCTTCTGGCATGTGTAGTACACGCCCCAACCAGCGTAACCTAAGAAGCGTGAGCAATTCTATCGCTGGAGAGTTCCTTCTTCCTGGGACCATCTGGCGTACCTCAGCATTACTAATCCAATGTTCTCACCAGACCTGACCAATGCTGCAGACACCGATGGTCAAACACTGACATCTGTCCTCTGTGCGTAGAGGCCACAACCCGGACCAATAAAGCAGTATGGATAGCACCACCGCAGTATAAACTCTTCTTTTGACAAACTGACGTCACGTTAGCGCAATTGGTGTCGAAGGTTGGCAAAAGCTCCTCCGGCCTTTCCGAGTCGAGGAATAATCTCATCTCCAGTCAGTTCACCAGAGCTTACACAACTGCCCAGGTGAACAAATTTATCAACCACGTCCATTGGCTCGCCTACAAAAATGAGGTTTGGGTTTGATCAGCAGCACTTTATAAGTTGCAGGTGTGAAGCGCATACCAAAGCGTCGGCCGAGTCATTTGGGTTATTTAAAATCGTCTGCATTTCGGAAGGATCTGAACCAAGGAGAACAATATCGTCCGCATACTTAATGTCTGTGAGCGAATGTCCTGGAAGCATTTCGACTCCTGAGGTTTTAGAGGTAGGGAGAGTAATTTCAAGGAGCAAATCAATATCAAAGTTGAAGAGGAAAGGTGAGAGAGGGTAACCCTGTCTTACACCACTGGACGTGGTGAACTCAGGCAAAAGCATTTCGTATACTCGTATGTGCCCCCAAAGATTCGCATAAAACGCCTCAATGAAGGATATAAATTGAGGAACCTTCTGATCGCCAGACAATGCCAAAGTTGCTGACGATCGACAGAATCAAAATCAGCTTTCAAATCAAGAAAAATGACCAACGTGGGACGTCTGAAGGAGTGATGCTGTTCAAGGAATTGGTCTCAAGGTAAAGATATGGTCGATACGTCCTCGACCAGGGCGAAACCCAGCTTGATTCTCACGAGCCTGTCTCTCCCGATAATCCATCAACCTGAGCAAAATAATGCCAGAAAGCACCCAGATGTGACGGATACCAGGCTGATACCGCGACGGCTTTCACGTGACGCTCTTGCTTACCTTTTGAAAACTGGGATGACGGTGGAGGAGCTCTATTTGGCTGGTATTTTGTCTTCGTTCAAAATCTTCTGCAGTATAGTTGTCAGACTGCTCACCAGGACTTGGCCACCTTCTGTGAAGAGCGCGGGATGTAGACCATCCGGGCCAGGTGCCTTGTCGCGCCTCAGGACTGAAATCTCACACTGGATTTCGGTTGCTGATGGTGGGTTGGTGCCAATGTGCCATTCGGGCCCACTCGGTTCTTTCAGTGTTTGTGTTGAAGGAGACCAGGTGAACTGTTTTCGGAAGTGCTAAGCCCACCGCTTAAGATGGTGACTGAGGGAATGAATTGCTGTTTCTTTTTCGCATATTGTTTCACTGAAACCTGTCTTCTTTTGAACCGTTGATCGGATCCGTGGAAACAGGGCGCGGCTGTTGCCAGCAGCAAAAGCCTTCGAAACAAACCAGCGTTCTGTCATTCTTCAAGCTTTTGATTATCCGATGTTTGAGGGATCTGCGTGTGCCATCATAGTCGCTAGTTGCTGGAGCTGCTCTCATTCGGCACGCGTAGTGCTGGTGCAAAGCGAAGTGCTAAGCGGCCCCGCACGATGGTGTGATCAGAGTCAAGTTGCGTACCCCAGGCTCACCAGCGGTAACCAATAACCATATGGTTCAATTGAATCTATCATCATCATCATCAAAGACAGCAACATCAGTGTTGGCGCTGATGCTTCGCTGCCGTACAACCATAATCTTCGTCTAGTTATATATATATATATATATATATATATATATAATTGTATTAAAAGCCCTACAGTGAAGATAAGAGAAAAAGAGTGGG